ATCACAAAGATAATAAATGAGAGTATTCCAAACTAAAGAAAAAAATGAAGGTTCCATTTAAAGTACAACTACTCCTGAGTTGATAAATGAAAACATTTCCAATTTGGGGTCACTAGAAACAATGATGCCATGAACAGGTCTCTTCGTACCTGGAGGCCTGCATTTATGTATGCACTTGGGGGTAGAATTGCTAGATCAGATGTAGACCTGGATTGCTGTTTTATGTGCATAGTGCCATTTCAATTTACTGTGCATGGGAGGTATCCACGAACTGTAGATTTACAGACATGGTGCGGAAATCTTTGAATCTACTTATTAGATTCTCTATAGAATCTATCTAGAATCTCTCAATCTAAATTTTAGATTCTGCTATATGACCATAGCATATAGTGCAAAATTCTTCTTTGTTTAACTGTAGAACGTATAAAGAGTATATCCTAAGAGTGTGTACAACTCTTAGGCTTCTATTTTCTCCATCAATTCTTGCTGTTTTCACTGTTGCTATGTTACCCTGAATACTGTATACTGGAATAATGCAGTTTCATTTTTATGTCCACTTCCGTTCTCCCTCACAGCGTTCTCTGTCTCTGTCCCTTTCACACACACACACACACACACACACACACACACACACTACACACTATGTTTTAGTTTTGACTCTCTTGGGAGATGAGGTTTCCCCAGTATCTCCAGGGCTGAAGCTCCTGGCTCTCCCTCATTCTAGCCTACTTTCTCCATCTTATGGTCCCCCCAACAGCATATTCAGGTGTTCTCTGGGGGTAGTATGAGGGAAGATATGTAGTACAGTGCAAAGAACATGATATTTGGGGCAAAGACACTTGCTGTATAGTCCTAGAGTCACTATTTACAAGCTAGTGAAAAGTTATTTAAAATCTCAGTATTTAAATTTTTTTCCAAGAAATAAAATGTGGATTAATACTGTCTTTCTGCCTACTTTTGAAAAATATTTGAGTGCTTAAACTGTCCCAGGGACTATTCTAGGTGCTGAAAACAGCAGTGAACAAAACTAATAAGATATCTTGTGGATATTTACCAGGATTAAGCAAGAAAATGGCTATAAAGTGCTTTGAATAGTTGCAGACATAGAAAATGTGCTTGGCAATTTTTTTGCTTAGCAGATATTTATTGAGTATACAACGTTCTAGTCAGTGTTGTAGCTACTGGGGATGTAGCATTGAGTAAGACCAGAGGAAAGAGATCAGAAAATAAAAAAGCAAAATAAATGAGTCAGTTAATCCACATATATCAGGAAGAGCAAACAAAATTACTCTAGACATCAAAGGGAAAGTTTTATTTCAGAAAATCAAACCAAGCCAGCTAATGGAATAGTAATGCTAGGAATAAAAAGAGAATTAAAAAGCACGGCCAGGAGTAAAAAGAGAACTAAGCAAATCAACATATGATGATCAGAACCCATCAGAATACAATACAGGGAGACAGGAGTTGGAAGCCAGCTGGGTAACCAGCAGACAGCAGGTGCTGCTCACTATTCTTTTCATTGGGGAGAGGGGTGGGGGTGGGGAGGTGCCAATACTAGCAAAACCTTCATGATACTTGGGCTTCTAATAACTCAACGATTCCATAACCAATTATATTTGTGACTATTTTTACTCAAATCATCCCTGATTCTTTGATTCTAGACCAACCTCACTCCCATCCAAGAAATTCCTACTCTCTTCTCTAGCTCTGAGGACCTCGGATTACAGACTTCCAAGGTTAAAAGAAACCACACTAGTCATATCACTTAACCACATCCTTAGAGTAGGAGATACAATCTCAAATGCAGCCAAGACAGAAAAGGAAGTATGCCGGACCACACATTAGAAGATGAAAATTCTAGTGCTGATTCCCAGGCATTACTGTGTGTTGCCTCTGAGAGTTCCAGGCCCTCTCTTTGATTTAGTTTCCTCATTTACAAATTAAGGATAATGATCCCCCTCTCTCACAGTTGTTATGGGGATTAAACAACATGGCATATGTGAAAGCTCTTTGTAAACCAAAAACCCTCTAGAACTGAAAGACATGATTAATCTAGAGGCATGGATTACGGCCAGTTCTGGGAAAAGTGGAAAGTACTCTGGCTGACTTCTCATGGCTTATTTTGAGACCCTGGGTAAATCACCACATTTCTGTGCTCTGGTTTTCTGGCCCCTAGTATATGAGAGCTAGTCTTGCCCTGAAAGGTTCTTTCATGATTCAATGAGTCTTTTCCCAGAAGAAAGCAGTAGAAGTTGTAATAGCTAAAAAGGTTCGGAGTCAACTGACTTTTGGACAAATGTATTTGTGTATCTCCAGGTAACCCTAACTTCTGAAGTCTAGACTGCCTGGCTGTTTGTTGTTGATAAAAAACAGTTCGTGTCTTTAAGTCTGAAAGAATGAGAGCACTTGAAAATTTTAAGATACAGATAAACTAAACAGAGCTGTTTGACTTTTTAAAGGGAGGTTGGAAATTTGAAGAATGCAAAGTTAGATATTGTACCATGATTCATATAACCACTTTTCTTTTTACTTCTGATAAGAAATTTTCACATATTGAGGTATATGGGGTAGCTATTCTGGTTTAAATCTGATTCAGCCTGAACTAAAGAAGCCTGACTTATGCCCTATCAGACATTCATTGTTTATATGCTTTAACTATTAGGATAAGGATGCATTAAAAATTATCTTAACATAAAAGAATGTACTCCTTGAAGATAAGAATGCATATTTCCTTTCCTACTGATGCCAGTATCAGTGCTCCTGAAGATGAGTTTCCTTTGCTGGACATCAGGGTCATGTTGATCTGCTAATCTGTAACTAAATGTCTCTTTGAATCTTTGATGAATGTGTATCCTGGGCATCTTTGATGTATGTTCTTTGTTCTAAAAAGGTATAAAACTTTACTGAAAACCATGTTTCTCCTGAATGTTTTCTTCCTTTGTGGAAACTGCCTTCCCAGGTTAATAGTCCTTAGCCTGGCCCAAGTAAAACTCACCTTATCTCTCTTATGTATCCAATGGTTATTGGTTATTTGTGTGACACTTCTATCCTCACAGCTTCCCTGCTCTCCAGGGCTCTACCCACTATTTGGGAAATTTTGAACCCTAATTTAATCACTTAACTCCTTATTTGTAGCAAATATAATTTTTCCATGTTATCTCAAACTGTTTTGAAGCAACATTAAGCATAATAAGTTAGGCTGGGTGTCTAATAAGATAAGGACAATCTCTAAGATCACCTCCTCCAGTGAGGGCAGAAGTGTATTCTCTCTAAGGCTCTTACTACAGCTGAGTGTAAGGGGATGGAAGCATTAATGTCGGCAGAATGGGAAGAACCAGAGGAAGGAGACATGATCCTTGAGTTCTGGCTATTCTCCATGGATTGAGGAGAGGACACAGACAAGACAGACATATGAACATTTCTAAAATTAGAAGCTCTGATATGTGCTGGGAGGAGAGGTTTACAAAGCTAGCTGGCGACAAGGAGAGGAGGTGAGGCTGACCGAATTCTTAGGCCTTTGCTCACACAGCCTGGGAGGTCTGAAAAGACTCCCCTGAGAAAGTGACCCTTGAGCTGAGATCTCAGTAGGAAATAACTAAGCATCGGAAGGGGCTGAGGGGAGGAGAGGGCCAAGAGCTTTCCAAGCAGAGAGAACCTTTGGTGAAAAGACCTTGAGCAGGAAGAAGCTTTGCATATTACTGGAAGTGAAGGCTAAAGTACAGAGCAAGTGGACTAGGGTGAGAGATGATGTTAGAAGGTAGACCATGCATAATCTTGTAGGTCATGCCAGTGACTGTGGTCTCTATCCTGAGAAAGCTATTTCAGGAGATGGGGCAAAAGGTTAGGGTGGTGGTGGAGGTGGAAATGTAGAGAAGGGGACACATTCAAGAGATATTTCCAAAGAGGTAAAATCGAGGCGAGTTGCCCATGGATTGGATAAAAGGAGAGGGGGAGAGGGAGGTGCCAGGGTGCTGCCCGGGTTCTGACTTGCCAAAGTGGGGGCCCTTTCTCACAGTGATCTGAGGTTCAGACCACTATGTCTCATGGCTCTTATTTTCAGCGTGAGAAGTGGGGCACTGACTGTCCAGGCACATAATGTACTTGTCTCTGTTCTTTAACACAGAGGCTCATATTCAGAGAGTGAGTGGATGAGTGAGGAGCCAGAGGAGAAACTGAGCAGGCAGAGAGGCCAGGCAGAAGGAGCGAGAGGAGGAAGAGGAGAGTCCAGGGATATTCCTCCAAAAGGAGTCAGGGAAGACAGAGGAGAAGGAGTGGGGGAGGCTGGGCCAAGGGAAGGGGAGGAAGAGGGCAGGGACAGAGACATGAGGAAAGAGGGGCTGGGAACACTAAGGTGGAAGAATCTTGGGATATTAAAGCCCTAAAGACCCATAGCCAATCCAGTCCAATCCTCTCAATGTGCAACTGAGAAAATTAATTTTCATGTTTTCATTTTATTAGAAATGTGATACTTGCACTTGTAGAAATTTTGGAAGACATAAAAAAATGTAAAGTAAATTAAAATCACCCATGGTCTTTCTGCCTAGAGACATCCGCTGCTAAGCTATGGACTTTCCTTCTACTTTGTTTTTTCTTTGCATTTTTAACATGGTTGGAGTTATACCATAGATACAACTGTATGTCCTGCTTTTAAAACTTAAATAATAGTTGTAAAGCTTCCCACACGCTTCGCAAACTCTTCAATAAAACAGGAGATTTAGACAAGCCGGTTGTGAGCAATACTGAAGAGAGTGGCGGCGTCAGCACTCCTTGGACCCCGACCAAGGCTCTTTGCTGCTCAAATAGCTGACGGCGAGGCAGGCCACCTGACACACGACAAAAGGACCCCTCGACTGGACTGGAAGCAAACCCAGGGCAAGCCAGAGTGGGAGTTTTGCCTGTTTCTGGGCTTGGGAAAAGGCCACCAACCAGGTCAAGAGTGCAGCTGTTGAGAGACCTGCGCTGGGGAGGCGGGGCTGGGGGTGGGGGAAGGAGATCGCAGGTCGGGGCCCAGTGCTCCCAGCTCCTCGAGGCTCCCACGCCCAGCGACATGAGGTGCCTGCTGTTTCTGCTGCTCTGGGGGCTCCCCCAGATTTGGAGAAGTTCTGAGGGTGAGTGGGACGAGGGCGCCGGGTTCGCGCAGGGGAGCGCGGAGAGAGGGAGCGGGGCTGGGAAAGGAAGCGACGCCTGACGGCGGCGGGTGGAGACCGATCCGTCTCGGAAGCCGGGGAGCCGCGAGCTCGCGGGCGTGATCCGGCGCAGAACCCGCTGCTCCCGGCCTCCGGCCCCCGCCTCCGGGAGGGGGAGCGCGGCTCAGAGCTACCCGCCTCCCCGGCCCACCTGTTGTGTTTGTTTTCTTTCTCCCCTCTCCTCTCGCTCTCTGCTCTCTGGGCACTCGCTAGGCTCCTCCAATCTCCGTTCTCTCCCAGTCCCGCAAAGGAATTTCCCGTTCCGCTGCCTCCAGATCTCGTCCTTCCTCAACCGCAGCTGGGCGCGCACGGACGGCTTGGCGTGGCTCGGGGAGCTGCAGCCCTTCGTGTGGAGCAACGACTCGGACACTATCCGCTTCCTAAAGCCCTGGTCCCAGGGCAAATTCAGCGACCAGCAGTGGGAGATTTTGCAGCATCTGTTTTGGGTTTATCGAAGCAGCTTCACCAGGGACATACAGGAATTCGTCAAAATGCTGCAAATAGCCTGTGAGCTGAGGGATGGGATCCTGGGCAGCTACCCAAGGGGAGACGGTGGACGCAGAAGCCCAACTGGGAGACTCTGACCCCACCTAATAAGACTCTCTGCTCTCTCCACTCTCTTCTGATGTCTACTTCTGCCTGAGACGTCCCAGCCTCTGACTCCTCAAAATATTCCTTGTTCCCCCTGCTCCGGGTCACCCACTCCCATTCCCCTGAACTCTGGGTCCCCAGTGTAACCCACACACCAGAGTCTTCTCCTTGATCCCTTCCAATCTTTATGCCCTTCTTTGACCTCCATTCCTGCCCTCAGATCCCTTGGAGATCCAGGTGTCTGCTGGATGTGAGGTGCACCCTGGCAACACCTCAGAAAGCTTCTTCCATATAGCATTACAAGGAAGAGATATCCTGAGTTTCCAAGGAACTTCTTGGGTGCCAGCCCCATATGCCCCACAGTGGGTCAAGAAAATCAGCAAGCAGCTCAACTATGACCAAGGGACCAAGGAAGCAGTGCAGTTGCTCCTCAATGACACCTGCCCCAAATTTGTCAGAGGCCTCCTTGAGACAGGGAGGTCAGAACTGGACAAGCAAGGTGAGCCTGCCCCTCTTACCCCCTGCCACCAACTCCTGGGCTCCATCTGGATTTTTCCATTCCAGGCTTCACTTCTCTTTGAGCACTGGGGGAAGAGAGAGGAGGGGATGGGTAAGGCATGAGGGTATTTATTCATTCCACACATGTTATCTGAGCCCGCTTTGGGTTCTATGAATAGAATCAAATAAACACTGGGGTTCAAACAGGATCTTTGCTTGAGAGGGAGGATGAGAAGACAGGTTAACAATTAAAGCAGTGTTTGAAACATGGTGCACGTGTTACAGCTGAACACAGGGTGCTACAGGAGTACAGAGCAGCGGCATTTACAGGAGACAGGATCAGGGAAGGAGCATGAGTATCAGGGAAGCCTTTCCTGGAGAAGATAACACAAACAGAGTGATGTTATGAGAGACTTCATCTCCAGAGGTGGAAATATGGGACTCATGAGCCTGCTGTGAGGCCTGGAGCCTCTAAAGCAGAGCCTCACTCTAAGATCCCCCATTCCCTTGTTGGATACAGTGAAGCCTGAGGCCTGGCTGTCCAGTGGCCCTACTCCTGGGTCTGGCCATCTGCTGCTGGTGTGCCATGTTTCAGGATTCTACCCAAAGCCTGTGTGGGTGATGTGGATGCGGGGTGAGCAGGAGCAGCCGGGCACTCAGCAAGGTGACGTCCTGCCCAATGCTGATGAAACGTGGCATCTCCGAGTAACCCTGGATGTGGCAGCAGAGGAGGCGGCCGGCCTGACTTGCCGAGTGAGGCACAGCAGTCTAGGAGGCCAGGACATCATCCTCTACTGGGGTGAGAAAGACCGGGGGCCCAGCTGGAAATGGGAGGAGATGGTTCTCAAGCATAGAGGGAGGGAGTGGGGAAAGGGTGGGACTTGACACAACCAGGACAGAGCAGTTCCAAGATTAGGCGTCTCAGCAGCAGGGATGGAAGGAGGGGATGCCAGATACAGGAAGGAGGGGAATAAAGATCTGAGCTCAAAGAGGATTGAGACAGGATGTTCCACATACAAGAAAAGTGAGACTAGAAAACTCGCAGATCCCGAAGTAGGCAGCAAGTAAAGAATCTCAGGAGGATTCATGCCTCAGGAGAGGGAGCTGGGACCTTCGAATGGGAGGGTGACACCTGTAGCTGTGGTTCACTGAGTGCTTCCTGTGTGTGGGCTGAGCACTCTCATACAGCAATTCATCTAATCATCCAACTGTCGTTTGAAGCAGGTGCTACTGTTCTCATTTCATAGATGAGGAAATTGAGGCTGAGCTAGGTCAGGTAATCTACCCAGAGTCTCACTGTTAGAAATATGGAAGAGCTGGATTTAGACTCAGATCTGCCTAGCTACGAAATGCTTGCCTCTCCCGTGTATGCTGTACTGTCATGTGCTGAAGTGGACTGAATTACCAATGCCCAGACCATGAGAAAGACAAGGCATCTAAACTTCAGAGGAATAGAAGTGGGTGCTTTCAATGGGGGAGGAACTAAGAAGCACCTGGCATCCTCACCTGTGCTTAGACCAGGGGACTTGGAATAGTGAGGGATCCTGGCTTGAGAGGCATCCTGTGTTCCCCCAGCAGAGCAGAGCAGTGCTTCCGTGGGCTTGATCGCCGGGGCAATACTCGTGTCCCTCCTGATCGGTGGAGGCTTATTAACCTTCTGGTTTAAGAAGCGCTGGTAAGTGTCCCCTCTCCATCTCCTCCTTCCCTCAACCTCTTTCCCCATATCTTCTCTTCTCCCCTTTTCCTCAATGGTCTCTCCCTTTCTATTCTCTCACAGCTCCTATCAAGACATCCTGTGACTGTCCTTGCCACACTTGTCTGTCTGGAGCTCAGGACCTCAGGTTCTGAGGACTTCAGTGCTCGGGAATTGAGAGTAAAAGAAAGGACTTTGAAGAGGGGGGGAACAGTCATAAAGCAGCTCTCATCACATCCTTTTAACATTTTTATCTAAGAAGATTTAAGTTCTTTTTCCGTATACTACAAGTTTATGAGCCCAAGTGATTCTGTGAAAATGGAAGTGCACCCTCAGGTGCCTACCGAGGGCAAGCAGACAAGGGCCGTGGTGTAAGGGCATGCGTGCTCAGTGTTTGAATGATGGAATCTCCAGTCAGCTGGAAAGCACTTGTCCTGTCCAAAGGAAGCAGGTCCAACTGCTTGTCGTCAAGTATAAAGTAAGACCCTGGGTTGGCTGTAACGTACATTTTTCAAGAAAAGTGGAAGACTGGATTTTTATGTGAACATGCCTGATATTAAAATGTTGACTCAAA